AAGCAGCTGAGGTTGAAAAAGCAGGAAATAAAGGTCAGGTAAGAGCCTGGGCGGGTGGGTGGGCCAAACAGTAGCAGAACCGGTTCTGTCTTTATTAATAGTTCAATTATTTGAATACACACTTTTTGGTTATGCTTGGATATAATTTGAGGCACAGTTTGGTGGTTAGAGAGTGAGCTATCTAATCACCATTTTTCCCCAGGATTTGTCCAAAAGAGAAATAAGAGTCATTTGTCTATTATTTTCAGGTAAATGTAGTTGTCAAAATTTGAACATGAAGGTACAGTTTTGACAATGATTTAAGCCAATGACCCAGGACCAAGAACCACATTTTTTAAGCTGGTTTACTCAGACGTAAGATGCCAGTACTTTCAGTTCTGAAAAAAAGAATTCATTTACTCAAGTTAAATTAATTTAATTAATTAATTTTCACCACCTTATTTTTACCTCCCACACCTTCCTCCTCTTATTTTCACCAGCACAATCATCCTGGGGGGGGGGGGGGGTTGAATTGGCATGAGAAAGTTTGATTGGCTAAGGCAGGACTTGAACTCAAGTTCCCACTTTCTAATCTGGTGCCTTTAACCGTTAGACCAAACTGGGTCTCTTTTTATATCAAGCATTTTTACCTCAAATACTTTTTATCTTTAAAATAAATAGATCGTATGTACATTGCAGTCAAGTTATTACAGATAAATATGAAAATGGGCTAATTTGGGCACAGTCAGCAGACCTTTTCAATAAAACAAATTGCAGAGAGTTTAAGAAAGTTTCTGGAAGTAATAGGATAGGTAGGGTTTGGAGGTAATTACACGTGTTTACCATAGTGTAAAAGAGCACCAGCAGTTAAGTGGAATGTGGTTTCTTCCTAGTTCTCAGCAGCACTTACAGAAAACTTTGCCAGTGATTCCCTCAAAGGTTTCTCGACGGGCATAGTCAACAAGGAAATAGTTGTGATAGTCCTGTTGATTCTTTAAAGAGTATAATACCGCCTACAATAGTATTAGATTTATGTAAATGAGGCTATCATGTGACATGGAAGTCAACAATTGATGAATTCAAGTGCAATTGATGAATTCAAGTGCTCAGAGTCTAATATGAATAAGCAGGACTGGTTTTTTGGAAAGGTTTTTTTTTTTTTTTTGCTATACTCAGAAGGCAGAACATATTCTAGACCTGCTAGGAAACTCAAATTTCAAATTCATTGCTACTTTCAAACTCATTGTTGCCATTCAAGCAAGACAGAAAAAAAATAATGTTCAAGAATTGTATAGGTGAATGAAGTGTTACATGAATGATTTCAGTTTATAATTTCTTAAACTAATGGGTATTGCAAGAGAAAGATTCAGGTACACGACAAAAGCTTATAATAATCCTGAAGGAAAACAAACTGGATTAAACATTTCAAGAATGTTTTAAAGATGAATAATAATTAAATTTTCAAGTTTGAAAAATATATATATCTGATTCACTTTAATACTAGGACTTTGCTGAAAGATGAAACTTGAATGGCAACATTCATTTTATCAGGAGGAAACATGAGATGTGCATTTGGGTGAAAATAGTATCTTTTGAATTATGTTTGTTGGTGAAGCATAGTTTTTAATGAGACACTAATTCCACATGTATGCAGATGATTGAAAAGAATCATCTGCTTGCAATCAGGAAATTTTTCAGAAGTAAAATTAATGTGAATGAATCTCTCCATCGTATTTGATCAAAATAAACTAAGCACACATTAGCACAAATGAAAACATTTAAATATAATGCAAATTACACGAGACTCAAACAAAAAGCATTTTAAGTTTGTTTAAAAATAAATGGAAAGCATTTTTTGCAGGGTATTTCTTAGTGTGGCTTGATAGAGAAAACTGCTATTCATTTTTATGCATAATTCTAATTTTGCTGAGAAATTATACTCATTGTCATACTTAATACATTTGATATGAGTTGCAGATTGTCCAGTACAGTTGTTTTAGTATCTTTAAGGCTTCCTGGGATAAGAGTAATCTGTAAGATATTGAGGTAGGCAAACATTTAATTCCAGAACTGTCTGCTTTTTAGACTGCTCTACCTCCTTGTTTCTTCACCACTGCTCCTGATATAGGATTTGATTTTGATCAAATGCCTTACTGCTGATTGAATAACCATGCACTGGTCTTAGATAACTGACTGATTTTAAGAGATCTAATTATAATGTCAGAGTGTCTGTAATTAATTTTCAGAATAAAGAATTTGATTTGAATATTCTGCGGCTTGCACAGTATATATGTCATAATCTAAAGCAGGTCTACATTGAATTTTATCTTGGCCAAGTAATGCATTCCCTATCCTTATCCCCCACAGTATTCATTCTTGCAGTGCCTAGCCTATTAAGTCTTATTTAGGGAAATGAAATGTAATTCTCCTAGAATGCATAAAATGATATACAGTTTGACATTGCACAACTAGCTATGCCCGAGGGTTAAATACATACTGTACATATGACTGTTTAATGTATGGGAGCCAAAATGTGGCTTATCTTGCTTTAAAATACCTATTGATACATATTCATTATTAAACTAGAGCCAGTAGAAGCCTGCCCCTTGATATATTTTTTTATAACATAGATATTCAATTCTTCCAGTGTTGCTTGGTGGATTTTATTATGTTAATAAAATAGTAAAAAAAAATCAATACTGAACATTTCCAGCTTTATTATGAGGTTTAGAAAAAAAAGAAAGAATTCTAATTCTTTAGAAGCAGACTGGCAGAAATATATTTTCTGAATGAACATATCTATAAATAATATTTCTATAAGAAATTATTGGAACATATTGTTAGACAAACAGATTTTAACGGTATTTTTAAAATTATGTAACCCTAATTCATATTTGTCTCCTTGCAACACTTATTTATGATCTTAAAACAAATATGGTTCATGAAGGCTACCTGTCTTCTGTAGGTATGCAGTAGTTGATTTGTTATTAGACTCTGAGATATTAATAACAAAATTTAGTTAGACAAAAGCTTTATTAGTAATTTTTTTCTACTATTAAAACTTGCACAGTTTCAGAAGGCCAAAAAATTCAGCAGAGGGCAATAACAAAATCATATGCCATTGTCACCTGTATGAAGCATATAAAAAAAAAACCCAATATCAAAGTAAGACTATAGCTACAGTATACTTTAATGACATAGACTGTAATAATAGAATCTTGAAAATTTTCTTATGTTTTATCTTCCATTCCCTTATATACCTATGGAGTCAGAGAGCAGGAAACCTGAGCCTAAAATATAATCTACAATTCTTAAATAGGGCTGGGATAAACTCCTTTCTGGGATTTTGGACAGTGAATGCCCTTTACTGGGAAGACCTGCCTTCCTAACTGTGGGCTTGGTGGACAAAAACATTAGAAAGTATTGGCCAACGCTTTGGGAGGGCAACAATATGGAGAACATGAATAGCAATCATACTAAGTTAAATGGACTAATTGTTTGAGAATGATTTATGTTACTGATATACTTTGCCCTATAATATGTCTCCAGATACATTTAATTAATAATGATCTAATTTTTGGTGAACTGCATAAAGTTGGTGACAGAGATAATGCTAAGTGACTTTTTAAAAGTTTTTAATTGTATGCTAGAAATAATGCAGCATGTAAACTGAAGTAAAAACTAAATATTATGTAACATGATTATCTTTCAAATATGAATTTGAATAAACAGACTGAAATGAAGATTTAGAAACATTTAAACCATCAGATTCTGCAGTTCTTGTAATCGAGTTATCAGCATATGGCTTATGACCAGCTCTTTGCCATGTGGTTTTAAGTAGGTATAACCAAAATATATTTTGGAAGGGTGTCCTGGCTCTGTTTTGGCCTGCTCTAATTTCAAAATTGTTTTTAATACTGACATTCATTTTTTAATGAAAAGAGCCATTGAAATTTTGGCTTATTCCTTTCAGTTACTGTTTGGTCACGTTGCTGAAAAAAATGTTACCCTTTCTGTTGTAAAATTTGAAATAAATGCCTTTTAATTTTAATTTTCTATGGATGTATGCTTGCTATATTGAAACTCTGCAAAGTGACTGAACACAAAACAGATTATATTTCAATGGCTGTCTTCCAGTATCCTCTGACAAAGGGATGAAAATAGTTGATGGCATGCTGTCCTTTAGTAGAGTACAAACTTCTAACAACATATCAAATATACAAGGGATATGGTTTGGAAATAAGCTGTAGTAGTCACAGTTATGTGGCCAAATTAGAGCAGCTTTTTAATCTGAAACATAAATGCTTCATTTATAGCAAATGATAGTTAAGATTTAATGTAAGAAAAGTTGACAAGTAATAGATGTGATAGTAATGTTAGGTAGTGGTTGATTTTTTATGAAATATGTATCCCATGCCTTCTTCAGCTTATCAGTTTGACAAGTATATTGAAAAAGGTATAATTGTAGCAGAATTGCCATAAATGAAGGAACCAAACTGCACGTAGCTACTGGATGAATCAGAATAAGTGACATATGGCATTCTAGCTGTTGATCAAAAATGCTCATCATCCTTAGGAAGCCTGAATGCTGGAGATTTTAATTTAATAGCTTTTCTAGTGCTAAGCATTGCTTATCCCTGGCATGAGGATAAAGAAGAAAGTCCAATCTCCAAAAAAAATCACAAAGATATTACTACCCAGTCACCAAAATTGTTCTGATGTCTTTACTTGCTTGGTTTCTTTTCAAAAAGAGTCATGGTGAAAACTTTACTTCAAATTTAAAATTTCTAAGACTTTCTACTAACAACTCATCATGAATGTCCTTCATTGTTTGTTATGATTGCATCACTTTCTATTTTAGTTAAGACCAGAATGCTGATAATATTGTCTTCATGCTTTCCAGAAGAGCTGCCTATTTCTAAAATAAAAGACATCATAAGTACAAGGATTAACGTTTTATAAATTATGCCTTGGTCTTCCAAAGGTTTGCAATTAGTTTAATAGTTTATTTCTTTTTGTAGCAGACAGCAGATGTGTCATATCAAATGCAGCAACATGTACTGCCTGTCTTGCAGTGGGTCCTGAATGTGGTTGGTGTGTTGAAGAGGTAAACAGTTTCTTTTTATTAGTCAACTGTTACTTTGTTTACTTTTCCTTTTCTACCTATGCAGAAGTAGGATTTTGCAACACTTCAATTTTGACAGAACAGTACTTGGGAAATTCCTGGGATTTCTCACACTTAGCAAATTCCAGTTACCAGGAGTCAACACTGACTTGAAGGCATACACACATACACAAAAATACATAAAACTGACTCATGGAGTCAGCAAGATAATTTAATGTGAGATGGACAGCAAGATAATTTAAAAAGTGAAATAAATAAAAATATCTTCTCTGCTGCTTCATCTAATAAAGTTCTTCATTAAAGTAAGGAGCTATCTTGAGTCAGTGGACAGATAGCGGCCACTAAGATGCATTCTATCAAAGGTTTTAGTTGCCTCTATATTCCGACAAGTACCCAAGCCTTTGGCAGAGCAACATGTAAGGAATAAGCTTCCTTGTATCTCTTAATTAAAAAAATAGTCTGAAATAATAATGTTTAGTGCTTTCTCCAACAGATAAGAGGGAAATAATTTTTATCTCTTTAATGAGATACTTGTACTTGGTATTGTTATGTATTTTACCATTACTACTGATGCTGATTTCTTATAAAATAACCTGAATACTGTATGTGCTTTATTCTTACCTGCATCCAGTTTGATTGCAATGTGCAGCACTATTTCACCTGTCTTCAAAAACTGTATTATAAATGGTTTAATTATGTTGGCGTTATTGTTAGTTTGGGATAATAACTTTTTGTTTATATGATATTATATTTTCTGGAAATTGAAGTTCTCCCCTTCTTATACTTTTATTATGTATTTTGCTTTCCCCTCATTCAAACAGGATTTTATGGCCGGAACAAAGTTGAAACAAAGATGTGACATAGTTTTACATTTAATCCAAAGAGGCTGCAAGGCAGATTTCATAGAAAGTCCTAAAGTTGATGTAACAGTGCCCAGCAATGAGGCTAATATTCAAGTTATACCAGGAGAAGCTTCAGTGCACCTGCGTCCAGGTTTGTATATAAGAAATATTTTTTTTTAATATTAAAAACTACATTTTGCCTTTGGCACAATCTAGGAGACTGAAGATAAAGGAACTTGGATAAAGATTCTAACATGGTTTTCTATAATCAAAAATAGGTTCTGAAAATTCACTTAGTTTTGAGAAAACACATGAAAAGATTCTAACTTATTCAAAAGCTACAACTGCATAATCTTTTGGATACACTAGTTCAGTTAGCTGTGGGACGTGGTTTAAAATTACTTACAATAATTGTTTCCAATAATTTTTAATGTCCTTGCCATCTTCTTAAATAGCTAATGAGCCTGGCTGCCGCAATTATCCATTGTCTTAATTTCTACTAACTGTTCATCAAAATTGGATAATTAAAATGAATCACTCTATATTTAGTTACTCCTCTCTACATCCAAATTCTGTAAATGACACTTTATTTACATTCCCTATATTTCTTAGGTAGATTTTGTTTTCTTAAATTGAAGACAGGAATATTCTTCCAGGTGTGAAACCTGACTCTGACTCCAGTATGCATCTTCCCTTCTCATGCATGAATGCCTGTGCGTGCATGCATGCATGCATGTACACACACACACACACACACACACACACACACACACAAAATACATACAAAGTGGACATCAACCAGTAAACATTATACTTCACTTCTGCTGCACAATGCCTGTCATTCATTCAGTGCTGGCTGAAAACTAGCCTTGATGTATTGCCAGGAGCAAAATATTCCAGCTGCTCTGCAAACTTGAAAACTACCCTGCCCCCCTGGTCTTTCATCCCCCCTCATTGGTTGGAACCTGCATTTTTCCTATGCCTTGCTTTTTTCCTGGGATCACTGACAGGCTTACTCTGCTCCCCATTTCCAATTTTGTTTCACACTTATTTGATAGCAAACTCTTAAAAAAGGATCTGCATTCTGCAGGTGATGGGGACAAATTGAAAGCAAAGTAGGCTAAATTTACAATGCATTGGGAACAGCTCGCAAATTCAATATGGCATAGCAAAGTTTCCTGTTATACATACATACATACATACATACATACATACATACATACATACATACATATTTAGATATGATTTAAGTGTTTTAATAGATTCTTCTTTTCTTTTAAGCATCTAGGTCCGTGATGGCAAACCTATGGCACGCGTGCTGGAAGTGGCACGCAGAGCCATTTCTGCCGGTACATGAGAAGTCGCCTGGAAGAGTCCTACTGCGCATGCGCGCGCGCCCCCCACCAGCCAGCTGATTGTCGGGTATCTGCTGCGCATGCATGGGGGGAGATGCATGCGTGGGAGACGCGCATGCATGCGCAGGAAGCAGAGCATGCAGGGAGGTCGTGTGCGCATGTGCAGAGGCACATGGCGGGGGATCACAAGTGCAAGCGCAGGGGGGGGCGGAGGGAGCGCGTGCATTTCATCATGGGTGCAGGCACGCAAGCGCGTGCACGCAAGCGCACACACTTTCGGCACGTGATGTGGAAAAGGTTAGCCATCACTGATCTAGGTCAATGGTCCCCAACCTTTGCGGCTTGGCAGCCTGGTTGGGAGGGGAACGAGGCCGCATAAGTGGCAGGCCTGTGCATGCATGTGCACAACTTGATGTGTATAAATGCACATGTAGCTCAACTTGCGTAAATTGAACTGTTCAAGCATGTGCATGCACGTCGGCCTGCTGCTTACACAAGTCAAGCTGCACACTTGAGTGCCGGCTTGCCACTTACATGGTTCCAGATAGGCCATGGCCTGGGAGTTGGGGACCCTTTAACTAGGACTAGATGATTTATTTATGCCTTCTGAACAATCACTTGATGGGATGTTCATTAATTTGAGACTGAATAATATCTGCACTGGTATTTGAACTAGGAAGGATTGTCAGAAAAAGCAATCAATGATCAATCACTTGGATGAGGCAGTGGGCAGAAGAAAGTTGAATGAGAATCCCAGTAAGGTTACATGTTGTAGTGCATTTTGTAACTATAGGATGCATATGAGAATATTTGAAACACATTGGAGGCAATATATTTTCAGAATTGAATACAGATTTGTTTGTTGCAATAACTTACTCTTGTTCAAGTTAAGTGTAAGTAGATATAAGCTTGTTTTAATGCAAAATGGGTGCTAAGGTATGTTAATACAGACAAGAATAGAAATCATAGTTTGTTTGAAATGCTCTTAGTTTGGAAATTTAGACATTTGATTTGATGATTTAAAATTAAGGAAAACAAAAGCTCCATTCTAACAAGCTAATTCAATTTGTGGGTATTATCTAGAAGTTTGAGAGCTAGTGAACTTCGTTTGTAAAAAATATAAAGTTAACATGAGTATTAACATATTGAATTCTGGTTTGTTCAGAAATCTAGCTCTAAAAATCTAGATATATGAACCAGATACATATAAAGAATTTGCTTTGTGCTATTTTGTAACTGTGGCAGAATTAACTTGCCAAACTTATACCTCGTCCCTAATCCTTCATAAGTGAAGGGGAATTTCAGACTGTTATTCATCTGCTTAAAGTTTCCCTACCCAAATATTATTGTTTTCAACATCAACACAATTCATCATTCATCTAGTGCATTGTACCAAAACTCCTCATTCTTCTTGGTAAATTAACTTGCTTACAATAATATTTTTAAAGTTGATGATTCCAGCTGCACTGAAAGGCTAATTTTTAGTTTTACCTGTGATCAATGAAAGTATAATATAATACATTTATATTTACAAGCCTAACTTGAAAAACGTTGTGTTTCATAACTATAGTATTTCAGTGGGTACCACCTTGCAAGATTAGTATTGACTCATATGGAATTGACTACAGTATAAATCTAATAAATACATAAAATGGCATTGTGCGTTGCATTGGATGTATGCAGACCCCCTTTTCCATATCTGAACTTATTATCGGTACCTCTATTAATGGTCCATTCTTTTAGAATCCTTTACTTCAGGGGTCTCCAACCCTGGTCCATGGACCGACACTAATCCATGGCATGCCAGAAACTGGGCCTCACAAACAAGTGAAGCCTTATCCGCAGGATATAGGCAGCATACAAAATCATGGCTCCTCTCTCTACAGAACTGGTCCCTGGTGCCCAAAAGGTTGGGGGGCCACTGGGCAGACAACCAATTGGCTGTGAATATTGCCCATGGCATGGAAATTTTAAAATGTATCAGTGTGCTCAGTTAGTATTGTGAAATTTCCGCCAACTTAATATGTCTACAGTACTGTCAGCAAAGGAGAATTACCTAATTATTCCTTATTAAGAAAAGATTATAGGTACACAAACATTCATTTAATAACCGTTCAAAGTTACAACAGCATTGAAAAAAGTGTCTTATGACCTGGTTTCCCTCTTGTAACTGTTACATAGTCACATGATCAAAATTCAGTCACTTGGCAACTGACACATATTTATGACAGTTGTACTGTCCTGTGGTCATGTGATCACCATTTGTAATCTTCATAGCTGGCTTCCAACAAGCAAAGTCAATGGGGAAGCCAGATTTGCTTAACAACTGCATGGTGCACTTAACAACTGCAATAATTCACTTATCAACTGTCATAATGTCATAAAATGAGGCACAACTCACATAACAACTGCCTTGCTTAGCAGCATAAATTTTGAGCCCAGTTGTGGTCATACGTTGAGGACTATTCACATGGTATAAAAAGGATGTTAAATAAAAGCCTAGGTAACTATAGTACTGTTAAAGAGCTTTGCTACTGGCCCCATCCGTAGCATCATTGTTTTATTTCTACCTTGGGGAACAATAAGTACATATAGAACATGAAAGGAGAACCTAATCTGAATTAACTGTGATGGGATAAACTCAGTTGTACCAGATTTCGGTACATACACATAGGCTTTGATGCACCTAAGCTTCTTTATGGTAGAAATGCACATAGTGGTATGAAAATGGTCTGTTGTTGACTATGGCAAAGCTCTAAAAACTGTTGTTGACTATGTTATAGCTCTAAAATCTACCTGTAGATGACTTATAAAGAGGTTTAAGTTGATTTCAGCCAATAAGAATGATCTTATAAATTTATATTATTTTTCAGGGCAACTTGGTCAATCTTTTTTGTTATCCTATAATTCTATCCCCTTATAATAGATGACTGTGTTCCTGAAAATAAAAGAATGCGGTATTCTGAGCTAGTTGACATTTCGGGGGGGAAATCTCTAGCCGGTTGAAAATCAGCTTTTTAAAGTTCTAACATATTTCACATTTTATCCTCTTTCAAGAAAATTGGCATAAAATAGATGAATTTATCCCAATTTCCCTGGCCCTGTAGCAACCCTGTTAGAAATTGTAGGAGTTGCCTAAAGCTACATAGTTTGCCTGTTTATAAAAACCAACATAATTTTCTTATTATCATTAGCAAAACACAGGAACTTACAGTTGTGGCAGAAATAATATTTCATTGAAGTAGAGTTATGAAGTAGATTATTACTAATTCTACTACAAGAAATGAGTTTGCATAAATTCGGAGGGCAAGTGTTAAGGAGAAAAAGATCATTTTGAAATCTCATATGCTTTCTATTACTTTCTATCAAAGGAGCAGGAACAGTAATAAGTGAGGATATATATGTCTTAAAGCTTTTTAATTATTGTAGAAGTACAGTGTTGTACTTCCCCCCCAAGTATAAAAAATAATTCCAACCCTGATGTAAAATTGATTTATCTTAATGATATCTTTAGAATACAAAACATCAATTTTTAAAATATATATAATGAGAAGAGCAAATGGGCATATATTACATTTCATTGAGAATCATCCTTATTAATGCTAGATTATAGTTTAGTGACTTTTCTCCCCTATGTGAGAAATTATGTAAGAGGCGTCCTTGGTGCTCTCTGAGCTTGCTTGATTTCTTACAGATATTTCATTACCCAAACTAGGTAACATCATCAGTGCTGGTGTAAGAGACAGAAATTAGTTTATTTATTATTTATTTATACTCTGTCATCTCTCTGTCGAGTGACTCTTGAAAACAACAGTTCCCCTATCTGTTATGGACTATCCAAGTGGCAACTGCCATTGAAATAATAGTTTTTATTCCAACCATAAGAATGTAACATGGTCAGGCAATTAAAAAAATAAGAGTGAATCTAAATAGACATAAAGCCAGCAGAAAAAGGGAAACAAGTGGTTCACAGTAACAGAATCATCATTACAGTGTTGTGATACAAAGTCCAGCCCTTTTCTAAGTCCATGGAGATGTTACATGCATGCCTGAATGGGGCAGAGCTAGCAACATGTTGCTGCTTTTGTTTTGTGTACACCACTTGTGTACACCAACTTCCTGATCAGCGCTAAAAGGAACAAGCAGATTCATTCACAATTCTGAACTGTTAACTGTAATTTATATGCAGATCTTTCACAATTTGAGACATAAATATTTCACATAATGCTAGAGTAATTTATATATTTTAAACCTGCATAGATTTTAGCATAACATTTGTTTCATCCAGTAAATCTTGTTTATTTTTTAAATAATCAAGCTGAAACCTATCATAAAATATTTTCTTTCTTAGCATAACCTTTTGATCCAAATTTGCTTCATTTTGTACTTTGATTTCCTCAGGAACGTGCTATGTGTTTATGCATTTGTAGAGCTTGTTCACTAGTATTGGCCAAGTTATTTCTTCTGACTTTTTCCTGCTTTATTTCTAGAAGAAAGATATGCAAACATTTTCATTTGGACCATGGTCCTAATGAAACCCCAAGTTTTGTCTTTCTAAATATAGTTTAATGTATATCAATTTAACCACTTTCATTGGGAAAAGAACTGCCTTTAAAGTAATTTTTTTGGGGTGTGGGAAGACATTTCTTTTAGCATTTTAGAAGAATGATATCACTAGATGATATTCCATTAGCAAATAATTGAACAAAGGAAATAGGATTTGAGACATTTGCTCCTTTTGGAACTTCAGTGAAATGCTCTTTTTTAAAAAGTAATAGCTAGAGGACAGTCATTTCAGCTACATTGTGCTATTTTCACTTGCACACACAGTTTGCTTTCATTACCAGAAGGAGGAGCACTTGATTCCAGTTTATAAAAGAAAGAAAAAAACAGACGCTATGGAAGGGATCACTTTGTCATTGGTAGCTGCTTTGCTTAGAACATCAATGTTTTTGCATATGAGAATTTTGAGTCTGTAGAGTTGAACCATGGGATGATGCCATCATAGGAGGAACTACTGAGATTAGTTATCCTGCTGCCCAGACAAGAGGAAACTACAGGATATTGTTTCCCAATAGAAAGTGTGGAACTTCTAGCTCTGTATTAACATGCGGTTTATATTTGTATAAGAAAATTTTTACTCTGGTTTTGTGTCTCGTTATTGCTTACTTTGCTTATTTCTTTTCTTATTTATGGTCCAAAACCAAGTTACAACATTTAAAATACAGCATACCATTAATATATATATATATATAATAATATATATGAGGGGCAGTGCAGTGGCTCAGTGGTTAAGATGATAGGCTTGTCAGATGAAAGCCAGCAACCTGGTTTGAGACCTGAGAGCCACATGATAGGGTGAGCTCCCATCCTCACCCCTGCTCCTGCCAAGCTAGCTATTTGAAAGCATGCAACGCAAGTAGATAAATAAGTACCACTTTGGTGGGAAGATAACAGCGCTCTATGATGTCATGCTCTCCACATGACTGAAAATGTCTTCAGACAGCACTGGCTCAATGACCTTGAAATAGAGAGGAGCATCTATAGTGAGCAATGGAATAAAATCTATATAGTGAGCAATGGAATAAAATCCACAGGTACTCCATACCTTTTTATAAGTTGAAGAAATCTTATAAACAAATTATTTTTTCCTGTTTTATTTATTTTATTTATGTAACATGTAAAAAAACAATTTCAGTCAAACAGTGTTGTCCGGGTACAATTATTTTTAAGAAATATTAATCAAATGTTTACAATGATATTCATCATAATAATACTATAATAACAATAATGTTTAACTTATCTACTTTAACAAGTCTCCTTTATAACATTTGTCCTGCATTTATATCCCCATATTTCTAACTTCTGTTTTTATTATCTAACCATTGGTAAAATGTTCCATTTCTGCACATTCTAATATTTTTTTTATTATACTCTCATCTGTCAGGATCCCATTGCTTTTCCATTGTTGTGCAAATAAAATTCTAGCTGCAGTTAATACATGTAGAATTAGATATATATTCTTTTTATCATACTTTTCTGGCAGGATGCCCAATAAGAATATTTCTGGTTTCAAATCTATATGCTGCTTTATCATTTTTTCCAAACAAGTATGTATTTTTGTCCAATATTTTTTAGCTTTGGGGCATGTATACCACATATGGTAATGCAAATCAGGTATCTGATTACACTTCCAAAATTTAGTGTTAGACCTAACACTAACATTTAGTGTTAGACCTAACACTAAACATTTTTGCCAATCTTGTTGGTGAAAAGTGCCATATGTAAAACATTTTATACAAATTTTCTTTATGTACAGTTGACATAGTTAATTTATTAGAAATCAACAATTTATTGAAGGCACTAACAGATTTCTATAAGCTGAGGTTATAATAAAATAAAAACAAAGAAATTGATACTGCCTTCAAAACATCTGAGTATAGTCAATAGTTTAGTAGAGTCTTTCAGACTTAAGACCTGGTTTTTGGTTCTAATCACCAATCAGAGTCCAGTAGGCACATTAAGAGGATATTGAAATAGACTCAACCTCTATAGTTGAGCAAATACATTCTCAATCTTCATATAGAAGTTTGGCATATCAGCCATCTGTCACTCTAGTAGAGAAAGTATCTGTACAGGCTAGGGAGAAGTCCTTCTGTGCAGGACTTAGAGAATCTTGTAGAAGTAATTGAGTATCCAAGGGAAGAAACAATTCACCTGTAAGAGAAATGGGGAAAGTTTTGTTCTCTCTATCTGAAGGTCTAAATCCCATTCTCTCTGCTAAAAATTCTGCCAAGGTTTTTTCCATGCCTAAAACAAATAGGACTGGTACTGATAGGCATTGCATTCACTCAGGATTGAAAAGTTTTTGTAAATACAGGCAGGAGTGGGATTCTACTGGTTCGGGCTGATTCAGATGAACCGGATATTAATTTTACATCCAGTTCAGCAAACTTGTAGTTCTGAAGAACAGCTGGTCCCGCCGTGCCCACCCTGCCCCGCCCCTCCCAGGAGTCCCCTTGAGGCCCATCTGGCTCCCAGGTAAGTGTAGGGTAGCCTCCTGGGAGCAAAAATGGGGCATGGGGGGGTTCCAATGCCACCCTCACCCCGTTTTGGCTCCCAAGAGGCTCCAGGGAGGCTTTTTAGGCCAAAAATAAGGTGCGGGGGGGCAGATGGAAGGAGGGAGTGAGGGAGAGAAAAAGGAAAGGAAGGAAGGACCACAAACCCTAGCACTAGGCGCAGCTTGAGAAGATGCTTTGAAACAGCACAGCAATCCAGAGCTGGAAGGGACCTCGGAGGTCATTTAGCCCAACCCCTTGCTCCAAGAACATTGTTAAAGTGAGTTTCTATCTTTGGACCCACCCAGTCACAGCCATGCCCACCCAGACACGTGACCACCTAGCACACCCACCCAGTCACGTGACCACCTAGCCACGCCCACAGAACCGGTGGTTAAAAAAATTTGAATCCCATTCCTGAATACAGTTAATCCCTGATTTATGACCACAGTTGAGCCCAAAGTTTCAGTTTCAAGTGAGACATTCATTGAGTGAAATTTTCCCCATTTTACAACATTTAGTTAAGTGAATCACTGCAATTGTTAAGTTAGTGACACTGTTAAGTGAATCTGGCTTCCCCATTGACTTTATTTATTTTATTTTATTTATATTGCCGCCTATTCGGCCATGGAGACTCGAAGCGGCTTACACAATGTAAAACCATATTTAAAACAAAAAATAAGAAACAATAAAAACTAACAAAAAGAATCAAATAAGTTAATAAAGTACAATAGAAGAAAATATGGGGGGGGGAACCACCACCCCACCTCCCACCTCCCACCCTGATGACTGCAGATCACACTAGCCATTTGATGGGCTCCATCCTGCTCTGGGTTCCCCAGGCCCTCTGGCAAAACCAGGTCTTAAGTGCCTTTCAAAAGAATGCCATTCTAATCTCTTTGCTTGTCAGAAGGTCACAAAAGATGATCACAAGACCCCAGGATGCTGCAATGGTCATAAGTGTGAAAAATGCTCATAAATCACTTTTTTCAGTGGCCTTGTAACTTTGAACAATCTCTAAATGAACTGTTGTAACTCAAGGATTACCTGTACATATCTGAGATCCAAAGTATTGCTATACTTAGTAATACATACTTTGCAATTATATAATTTTTCAACCAAACTGTCCCTTTGATAATAAGATGAGAAAAGCATAGAAAATGGAATGGCTTGAAAAGTGTGTGTGTGTGTGTGTGTGTGTGTGTGTGTGTGTGTATGTGTGTAACATACTTAATGCTTACAGCTTTAAAAACTAAATTAAACTAGTAAAACGAAAAATATTCTGCATAGGATTTGATTTTAAAATAATGTGAATGTTCAGAAGTATTGATTGTAGTTCTGCTTTTTTGCATTATTAGGCTCTGAAGCAAGTTTTATGCTGAAAGTCCGCCCACTGGAAAAATATCCTGTCGATCTTTATTATTTGGTTGATGTATCTGCTTCTATGCACAGACATATAGAACGATTAAACTCTGTTGGATTTGAATTATCTCAGAAGATGGAAAATATCTCCATTGATTTGCAACTTGGATTTGGATCCTATGTAGATAAAACAGTGTCACCCTATATTAGTATTCATCCAAAAAGAATCCATAATCAGTGCAGGTTAGTATTGTTAAAAATAGATATACATAATTCATGGATACATATTTATACATTCAGTGTCTAATTCTCTTTTGGAAAAGTAGAGGAACAAATGAGTGCATTTGCATTCGCTTTATCTACTACAAGGTTTAGGTAAATATGTATTGTCATTCTATAATATGAAGGTTTAGATAGCTGATAAGACTGGTAACATATTTTGTTTGATCCCAAAATTGTAAGTTTCAGCTTTCCAGTACTATCTGTAGGTTGTCAAGGGAGCAATTGCAATGATGCAAACAATGCCTGTTTTTTATGTATATATGCTTTAAAAAAAATGATGCACCCTGGTCAGTGGCATCATTAGTTGCATTATCAACTAATTTTACTGTTCTCTTTGGATGCACCCATTTCATATTATTAATAAATAATATTAGTTGATAAAAATCATTAACTGTAATACCAATTTTGGAAACAAACTTAATTTGCACTTTAATTTTAAAAGTATTTTAGATTTCATTTGTTGATATATGTTTGGTAGTAGGTTATTGGCAAGAGAATGGAAGTGATGTTTGTTTTTAGTTATGCTAAGAAGGGTAGTTGCACTTAAAATATTAATCATTGTTTTAAAGAAAAAATAAATATTTGTATTATTTTTTCTTTACAAGTAGCATATTTCTAGTTTATATAATTCACTTCTGAAAATTAGAGGTGGATTTGTGAGGCCAGCTTACTCTCTCATAAAAGCCACAATTTTATATGGCTATACCGGGTGTCGGTAACCAGCGGCTCCAAAGCCACATGTGACCCTTTGAGCTCTCTGTTGTGACTCCCTGTCCCATCACTGGCTGGCCCCGCTCCTTGCCTTCCCCTCCCTCTCCTGGCCTGGGAAGGTAAAGGCGATAGCGGGGGATGGCAAAATGGCCGGGACCGATTCTCTGGCGCCTCACTCTTGCTGGAGCATCTTCCAGTCCTTATTGTTGCTGGGCATGCCTTGGTTGCTTGGGGAGACACAAAACCTGCTCTCCGCCCTGAGACAATGGCCCGACTTGGCTGCGACTGACACCGGCCTTACTAACACGAGTGCGGGCAGGGAGAGAATGGAATGTGGGAGGACGGGATGACAGAAAGGAGGGTGGGTCCACAGTGCCTAGCCATGGCTTTAAGAAGCTCAGGGAAGTGGAAAAAGGGGGCTGGCCCTGCTGAACATCACATGCCCACCAATGAGGTCAGGCTCTCTCCTCCCCTCCCTCCCTCCCTCCCTCTCTCTCTCCTTGGAGCTCTTCTCTATTCCTTTTCTTTTTTCTATTTTGCAATCTGGGCTGGCTGAGGAATGAGCGCAAGCTGCAGCGGAGGCTTCCCTCTTCCTCCTCCCCCTTCTTCTGTGGCAGGGCCAGGAGGGTGCACACAAGTGGTGAGACCCTCAAGCGAGTGTCCCCCCTGTGTGCACCTTTGCTGCGCTTTGGCCAAGCCCAGCCACTCTCTTGAGGAGTGTCTCCCTGCTCGTACACACCTTCCCGGACCTGCCACACCAGGGGGTCATGAGAGGAGAAGGTGGAGATGGAGGAGAAGAGTCACCCAAAGCAGAGGTGGTACTCAGCAGGTTCTGACCAGTTCTGAAGAACCAGTAGCGGGAATTTTGAGTAGTTCGGAGAACCGGCAATACTACCTCTGACTCGTGATTTTACAGTATCCTTCCCCTGCCATGCCCACCAAGCCACTTCCACAGAACTGGTAGTAAAAAAAAAAATTTGAATCCCGCCACTGGCCCAAAGGGAAGCCTGTGCTGCAGCTCATACTCGTTCCTTAGCCAGCCCTGACTTCCAAAAAGTTGCCAAGAAGAAAGAAAAGAATTTGCAAAGAGCCCCATGGACAGCTCGCTTGGCCCAGCCTCTCTTTCCAAGAGAGAGGGAAGAGATGCAGAGACAGCAAAAGTACAAGAGAGAGAGATACAGAGAGAGGGGGAGAGAGAGGAAAGCGGGGGAGAGAGACCGATAAAGACAAAGAGAGGGGGAGAGAGATACAGAGAGGGTGCGAGAAGGAGACAGGGAGATATAGAAACAGAGAGAAGCAGTGGTGGGATTCAAAAAATTTTACTACTAGTTCGGTGGGCGTGGCAGGGGAAGGATACTGTAAATTCTCCATTCCCTCCCCACTCCTGGGGGAAGGTTACTGCAAAATCCCATTCCTACCCCACCCCACTAACCTGCTTTCTTTCCATTCTGCTGTGCAGGGCAGCCAAAGAAGACCCAGCCGATCTGCTGGGACTTGGGAGGCAGAGAATAGATGGGGGCAGGGCCAGTCAGAGGTGGTATTTGCCGGTTCTCCAAACTACTCAAAATTTCTGCTATCAGTTCTCTAAATCTGGTCAGAACCTGCTGAATACCACCTCTGGAGAGAAGGGGGGAGATAGGGAGAGGGGAGAGAGAGAGAGAGAGAGAGAGAGAGAGAGAGAGAGAGAAATACAGAAGGGGGAAGATAAAGAGGGAGAGGGAAAGAGAGAGAAGGGTTTTGTGGGTTTTTTTAACAACCGGTTCTCTACCCTAATGACCGGATGGGTAGGCGTGCCTAGGAGGGGTCATGTGACTGGGTGGGAGTGAGTGACATCCAGTTGGCCATGCCCACCCAGGTTTGTGGCTCCCAGGTTTTTTGTTCTGTGGGAAACATATCCAAATGGTTTTTTTGAATGTTTAAGGTTGCAGACCCCTGGGCTATATTGTACACATTCAGAGAGATATTTTTAAAATTGTCTACTTCTTTTATCTTTGTAGAGACTTTGCTACCAAGTGAAAATAATTGACATTTACACTCATACATATCCTTAGGATATGCACATCCCAAAAAAATAAATAAAATAAAAATGTTTTTCCCCCTGAACTATGCTGATATAACCAAGTCATAGGGAGAAAGTTGAATTAATGGAAGACTTCTTAAATAAAAGAATTAATAATAATCTTGCCAGTGAAGAGCAAAGATAATTCCTATCTCCATTTATGAGCCTAGAAGTTATAAGTATAATGTTATAAATCTCTGTTTGCTGTGCTACTACATACAACTATTTAAAATTTCTCTGTTGGCATTACAAGTTACTATTCTTTGATTCCAAATAGTGATTATGAGCTTGATTGTATGCCACCGCATGGTTTTATTCATGTTTTATCGCTGACTGACAAAATATCAGAATTCAGAAGTGTAATTAATAAGCAGAAAATCTCTGGAAATATTGATACACCTGAAGGAGGCTTTGATGCTGTGCTTCAGGCAGTGGTTTGTCAGGTAAGTAATAACAGATAATTCGATGTTTTGTTTTACTCTTTGGGGGATGATTTAATCTTGCAATGTTGAAATGTTATATGTGATTATAATTATTTATGCAATTATGCTCCTTTCTACTGCTGTTTACATGCTTTAATGTATTTATAACCCCCTTTTTGCCTTCTATAACCATCAAAATGTTTTTGAGGATATATTTACATTGAAGCTTTGGATTCAAAAAAATTGTCCTTCAAATGAAGGATTTGATACAACCAGCAGTGTTTCAGATTCTTCATTTAAACACTTTTCAGTTGAATTGGATCACCATAGTGGAGTTTCTGGTCTACCATGTGACCTTTTCCCTTGGTACCTGATGTGGGTAGTGTTTTTGTTTAATTAGAGGCCATTTCATTTTCTCAGTCATTTTTGTGAATTGGACATATTAATTCCCCAAGACCATAGTGTCCTCAGAATTCCAGATGTGCCTATGATAATGGGATATATGAATGATTTTTACAAGCAGTAAAATATTTCCTGATACTTGTATTTTTCCTTACATAGCTTACCATTTGTTTATTTATTGCAGAGCCATATTGGTTGGCGTAAAGAAGCAAAGCGTCTACTTCTCATGATGACTGATCAGACATCTCATTTGGCTCTTGACAGTAAATTAGCAGGGATAGTAATTCCAAATGATGGAAAATGCCATTTGAAAGAGAATATGTATATCAAAGCAAACAGTATGGTAAGGTATATGTCATATAATGCAGTGTTATTTTTGGACTAATTCCTAAAGCATTAGAAATATCTTTGTGGGAATCATGTTCCGAGAGATAAGAACTTCTGCTCAAACTATCTCATTCAAATTATTTCATGGTTTTGATTGATCAGAGAGAATACCTAATACATTTGTTTTTTGTCAGAGTCGCAAGAAAAATATAGAGCAAAGTCTTTCTCTTAGATCCTAGGGCAGGGGTGGGATTCAACCAGTGTTACTACTGGTTTGGTGATTTATGTTTTGTGTTCATTCAGAAAAACACTGTTTAGAATTTTTAATTACTATAGCATCGTATTTCTTTAATATAAAAGTATTTCATTGCTTGCTTCTAAGAGTTTCAAAACTTAAATATGCTAAAAAATGGAAATTGAAAATCTAGTGAAAAGGCCTATTTATTGAACAAATAGCATAAATTGTAGTCTGTAGCTACATTGTGTGTTCATTTTCTCCATTCTGTATGAAGTTTGAAAACAAAGCTGGTAGATGTCAGTGGTAAGCTGGAATGGCCTTTTAAATCCCCAGATTTAAATATTATTTAAAATTTGTAGACAGGTATGAAACATGCACAGTCTGAAATGAGACCTAAAATATTTCTGAGATAGAAGAATTCTACAAATAATGGTAGTTAAAAAAATACTCCAGAGTCTAGACAAACCCTTTGCTGGTTTCAGCGAACATTTAGAATCTGTAATTTGTCCAGATAACTCACTGAAAGAATGTTCAAAATTTTTCACTTGCATTGAATGTTTTCTTATCTGTAAAAAAAGTGTCAACTTTATGCTGTTTAAAAATGTACCAGCATTTATTCAAGTAAGAATTCATTAAAACATTGACCAGGGCTACCTTTTCTTTTAATGCAACTATATGTTCAGCAACTTTTCAATCATAAAAAGCTTGGTGACCAGCTCCATGTTTTGATTTGGCATCAAGTCTTGCCTGTCCATATACTTTACCTCCTGCTAAGAATTTGGCATACACAATAGAAGACTTACACAAGATTCAGCTAAATTAGGCTCTTTATTGCAAAAAAGAACAAAGCCATGTATGCACAGCTGAATCACTGCAGTGCAGAAAAGTCAAACTTTTTATGTAGTCTGTCTCCCAGAGCTTAAGCCATTTTCTTCTGTCTTTTCAAGTAAATGGCTGCTTAGCTGGACTTTTGACAGTCATAAGAAGCAGCTGGTAAATGTTTACCTAACAGTTCTCTGGTTTCTGCCTTGCCAGCTTTGGCCCTTATACTTGGGATGATAAATAATACTTTTATAACTCAACTATGCTACTAAGCAAGTTAAAAAAAAGACTATCTTGTTAAAGATTAGATTGTGTGGGCTATTATATGAAATGGATGACTTATACAAAATTATCTCACTAGGAAATTTTGTAGCCTCTCCATTACTGGGCAATGGTTGTGGCGATGGTTGAATTTTATTATGTGTTCATAGATGGTTAGTAAATTGTATGGAGGGCCCTGGTCATAAATTAAATGTGTGTATGTAGTTTGTTATTTTTTAAAAAGAATAGGAATTATTAAAGAATTGTTTATATTCATGTATATATGAACATACATTAGTTTATTTAAGTAAAATGTTAGAATTGGTAATTACAATAATCCACATTATGAATCTACTTTCTGATTTATAGGAGTACCCATCACTTGGCCAACTTTCTGAAAAGCTCGTAGACAACAATATTAACGTAATATTTGCAGTCCAAGGAAGCCAATATCATTGGTATAAGGTATATTTAAAAGTAAAACAATTATGTTAGTCGGGGACAAGATATACACTGGCATTATAAACATAAACTAATATTTTCACAGGATCTTTTACCTCTGCTACCAGGAACTGTTGCAAAACAGATAGAATCAGAGACAGCAAATCTTGGGGATTTGGTAGTAGAAGCTTACAAGGTATGTTCCAGTGACAGTAATATATCATTATAAATATGGTGTTTATATATTGTTTATTTTTCAAAATGTTTATTGAAGTTAATATTCTGTAGATTCTACATGTATGATACAGGAAGATGTTCAATAGGTACGTGTATCTCTGTAAAATATAAAATACAATTCCCTTTATAAATTAATGTTGTTGCAGTTTTTGCTTTGAGCAATTGCTTTTTGCGATAACAATTAGAACTGATACATGTACAATAAACTGAATAAAAATTATTAAAGGTTCTACAACTTTCATTATCAATGAGGATCTTTTGAACATTGTGAAAGAGCCATTGGACTGTTTTCAGAATTAAACTAAAAATCCTGCAGATGTTTTGGAATTCAACTCAACTTCCTTTAACCTCAGATAGCTTGGTTTATGGCAGGATTTTGGAAGGTATGTTCCAAAAAATCTGGAAGGCAGACTGCCTACCTCAGTACTGTTAAAGAAAAATCCTAGTATTTCCACAGGTTTCTTTTTACACATTTATTTTTCTTCTTTCCTCATGCCAATTTTCAGTTAGGTTGTGCTATTCGTATTGCTAGTAGTATTTTATTATGCATGTATATAACATTTTTATCATAGACAATTCTTACCATATCTATGATTTTTATGTGATTCATATAATTTAGTATTTTGTTCTTCAGCATTAATATGTGCATTTGACCATGATATTTTTGTTATTATATAATACACGAACACATTTTGCTTAATAAATTTGTGTTGTTATATTTGTATTATGAAAATTCCAGCTATGTTTTTATTTCTTCTTCTCCAAAGGGGAAAAATACCTACTTAAAGCCACTGAATATGCTGCACATATATGATATATGCATAGCATTGTATGCAAATTGAAAAATATGTCATTGGGTTAGTAACTGTTTTAGAAAAACTTACAAATGCACTTCGTGCTTTATGATTCAATCCAGCATGTTTAAAAGAGTAATTTGTAACAATCTATATGTTTAAAACTGTATATTTTATTTAATGGAAGTTGATCAGTGAGGAAGACTACCATATGATCCATCCCCCATCCCCGTTTTACATTGTTGCTGCATTCTTGCTTTTTGAATGACACACACACTTCTGCAGCTGTTCTCGTTTCTATGTGCTTTGGTATTGGTGGAAAGGGTTGGACATCAGTCAGGTGACAAACACTCATAATCTTGAACTAATAGCAGACAAGTCAGATAAGTTGCTCTTTAATACGTAAGTACTTATTTACACGTAATGTCCAATTAAGAAGGTAATATGAGAAATTGCCCTGTGGCATCAGTATGTAAAGGAAGGTCATGCTAAGCATTGAATCACACAACTGTGAAAACAAAAATCTGTGCAGAAAACAATTGTCTCCTTTATTCCTAGTCTGATGGATTATTTCATTCTGATTCAATTGAGTAGAGCTTTCTAATAGGTAGTGTATGTTGCTGCTGTGGTATCATTATTTGTATTTTGCTCTTATTTTATTTCAGAAGCTGCTTTCTGAAGTGAAAATTCAGGTTGATAACACCCTCAAAGATATACATGTCAAAGTTACTGCAATCTGTCCCGATGGAAGTAGAAAAATGGGTTCAGAGGGATGTAAGAATGTGAAATCCTCAACTGAAGTATGAACATTTCTTTTTTTTAACAAGGGAGATGAAATATTTTGTTATTGTGGACATTTTTCAGTAGAAGAAGGCTTTCTGCAGATTTAAAACTGCATTTCAGAGGATTAAAGTTCTTATGTTCCCCATGTTTGTGCCATGGATTAATTTTTTTGGAGCTTTATTTTAAATTAATCTTATATCAAAAGGTTTATTCTTAGACTTTCCAATAAGCTCAAATCAAGTTAATGTTTATTTTCTATAATTCCTCTATGTTCTTCTCAAATCATCATAAATACTCATACATGTTACTAAAAGTCTTACTAACTTGAAGTCATTTATTTATAAGTGGGAATGGCAAAGTGGGAATTTATTTATAAGTGGGAATGGGTTAAGCTAGCATTTCTCTTAGAGAACAGTGAAACTTAGGAATCAATCAGAACAGAATCAAAACCAAGAGTCCCTCAGTAAAAAAATAGAATTACAATATCATTTATCCAAAATGCTGGTTTCCCATCTCCACAATAGTTCAGTTATGAAGTATGAAACACAACATGCTGGTTGACATGGCCTTTTGTGTTATTATAATTATAATGAGTGATATTATTAGACATAAAGCCAGTGGTAGAGTGTGTAAAAGACATGGGAACTGAGACATGTTAGAATTTAGAAACAAATCTGTAGGTGTAGTTTTGGATTACAGTAAGATACCCAATAGTCCATCATAACTGCTAACTTAATAAACTTATTTAACATTGGGGGGGAGGAGTTCAATTGTCAGGGCAGAAATCCATAGTTGGTTTCAAATCAGTACAAAATCCTCACATGCATTTCCCCATAATCTCTATTAAGACATTTTATATGATGTAGTAATTTATATTTTTAATCATAGGTATTCTTTAATATTTCCATTGCCATGAAAGAATGTGGTACAATTGGCAGAAGAAACCACATGACGATAAAACCCCTTGGTTTCAATGAATCCTCTAGAATTAATATCCACAAAAGATGTGCATGTCAATGTGAGGACAGTGCAAAACACAAAAAAATCTGCATCAATGAAACCCCTCATGAGGATGAAGTATCTCCCTGCAAAGATGGAATCTGTGGTTCTAGTGAAAAATTATCTTCGGAGCAATGTAAGAAGCAACAGGATCATCATCTTTGCAGTGGACAAGGAGAATGTGTACACGGGAAATGCATTTGCTATGAAAACAAATATGGTACAATATATGGTAAATACTGTGAAAAAGATGATTTTTCCTGCCCATATTACCTTGGAAACCTATGTGCTGGTAAGGTTGGAATTTTTTAATGCTTTATTCATATTTTAGTCTTTGTCATATGATTTATAATCTTTCTTAATACTAAGTCCCAGGCTAAGAAGTATATTCTCTCTCTCCCTCACATCCACACACCCACAGTTACTTTCTTGTAAAGCACTATTGAAATACAGAATTGTATAAACAAAAATAGATGTGGTAACAATGTTCTAGATCCCCCCCCCCCAAAAAAACATTCCAATCTAGACATTGAAGAATTGGTTTGCCATTTTTTTTAAAGTAATTCCCCCAGTTCTGGAAGTGGGTCTTGACCATGTCTAAAAAGATTGGCAGTGTTTATATGCAAGAAGAGAAAGGATTTGCAATTATTTTAAAGAATGTACATTGCAGCAAAGAAAAAAAACAGGATCATTTAAAAGAGATGTTTAACTGGCAAACCTTAATTAAGTTGAACAAGATTTGGAGTAATAGTATATACGAACAATAAGGCCTGAGGTGACAGGACATTTTTAAAGATAGTAGCTATTTTGTTGTGCTGGATAAAGCAATTGAAAGTCAGTGAATGAATCTAAGAACTTTGATGCTTTGATGTTAAAATGCTACTTACAATTTACACCAAGTGTATTGTGCAGGTACAAAGTCTCAGCTGAATCAAAGACATTTTTCATATTTTAAGTATTTTCATCTTTATAATGAATTTGAATGACATTTGTTCTAAATAGTCTACCTAAAAATACATGGAAGAACCAAATGAGAATTCTAGCAAATAATGTAATCAAGTCTTCCTTCCTTCCTTCCTTCCTTCCTTCCTTCCTTCCTTCCTTCCTTCCTTCCTTCCTTCCTTCCTTTGTAGGTAATGGAGAATGTGAAGCTGGCAAATGCAAGTGTTTTAGGGGCTGGGAAGGTGACCGCTGTCAGTGCGCCTTATCTTTGCAGAAACACTGCATGAACCCAAATGGCCAAATATGCAGCGAAAGAGGAACTTGTGTGTGTGGGAAATGCAAGTGTGCTGATCCCAACAGCTTAGGTCGTTTGTGTGAATTTTGTCCTTCTTGTAGAAAAGTTTGCAGTGACATGCAGTAAGTCTATCATTTTGGAAATATTTATCTTTTTTATTTTTTAAGTGTTCTAAATTCAGATATATTAAATACTCCATGAACTTTTTGTTCACAAAGTAGTTTAATTCTATTTTTAATCTTTCTGGGTGTTTCAGGGAGATAAAACATACCAATTGTCTGTGACATAGTTTGTGGGCTTTTGACTTTCAGGAGAGTAGATTGCAATGCGAAGGATGAAAAGGAAAGGGAGGAGGAGGCATCTTAAAATGAAATGCCAAGAGAAAAATAGCATTGTCTGGAGTTGCCATTCTCATTCATTATTTACTTAAAAACTTTTAACAGTTGCTTATCTCATAAAGTGATTCTAGGTGGCTCAAAACAATCAATAAAAACAAGAATAAAAGTAGAAGAATAAAAATGCTAATCCTTCCCACAAGACAGACCAGCCAAACTATTGACCTCCTCACTAAATTCCCATCCTAGCTCAATGTTTGGGTGAAGAGCTTGGTCTCCATGATCTTCCAGAAAGCTAAGAGTGAGGGTCCCTCAAATCAGGTGGAAGGCTAGGATGGTTACAGAGAATTGTATGCCTCCAAAGTCCCACCAGATGACAACCTTTGGGGAAGAGATTTGGAGTGTTTTAAAAAATAAATATTTTGTTTTGTAATCAGAATACCTTAAAAAGATCGGTCAGATCAACTTTCTTCAAACTTGTTTTCAAAGAGCTGAATGTTCAAAGCTCTATGTCCTTGCCATTATAGAACTGGGAAGATGTATAAATATATAAATACTAGTGATAACCTGGCGTTACCCGGGTATTTATCCCAATTCTGTATTAAACAGGAAAAGGAATGACTTGTGTCAAACCTCCAGGAGCAAGAATAAATAAATTTATTTATCCCTCTTTCTCTCTATGTCTCTGGACTTACCAGGTGCCACAGTCCACCACTCAGGCTGGGAAGGGCACACCTGTGGTGTGCTGGGGGGCAGTGGCAGTGGAGGTGGGGTGCTGGGCAAACTGCTTGAGGAACTCATGCAGGCAGACATAGAGCATGCCCAGGCAGCAGACGTGAGCAAGGCTCAGGTGCAGGAATGGCAGCATCTCTGGGGATACCTGCGGGGGAGGAGGAGGAGGAGGAAGCCCATGGAGGGAGAAAGGGCCACCCCCTCACCCTGCCACTGTGCCCACCTGCAGGCCGCCATCTAAGAGGCCACTCAGGTAGCCGCTCAGTGCCATTAGCAGCTTGTGGATCATAGTGCCGCATAGGGACAAGGTCTGATCCCTCTTTGCAGGAGCCCCAATGATGCCCCCAGCTTCCTTAGGCCAGAACCAGCTCTGGGCACTAGATCGGGCCCTCTGAGACCCCCATTGTGTGCCGAGGAGCCCAGGTGAAGTCTCACTCGCTGCCTGCTGAGGTGCCTGGACTCCCAGTGACAGGACTCCCTCTTTAGTCCTTCAGGCACTTAGCTTGGCAGCCTGTTTAGTAGCTCCAGATCCTCCCTCCGAGTGCCTTGTAAGAGCTGCTTTGGGTTTTACATGCCCAAATGTCAGTTGCTTGGAGGGGAGTTGGCAGCTGGTTAGAGGAGCGCTGAAATGCCAAAATGGCCTCAAGAGAGGCTGGGCAATGTGAAGTGGTGGGGAGGGGAGGGGCGAGCTGCGAGGCAGGGCCAGCGGGGTGATTTAGCCGGTTTGCCAAACTGCACACAGACACACATACAAACCCTGTTAGGGGTGTCCACAGTATTTGTTTCCAGAGAGTAAGTCATCTGTGAACCAAGTTTGGTTCAAATTGCTCGAGGCGTTCCAGAGTTATGCTGAAACACACACACACACACACACACACACACACACACTTATATATATAATATAGATAATAATACAATGCTTGTGTTGTCTGTTTCAAGCTCAACATCTATCTCATCAGAGTCCATTTAAATGAGATGGTATTGAGAAGGTCCGACATGAAATGATGATGGTTGCATAAAGTGAACTTTGAAATACAGTGTTGCAACATAGATTCCACCTTCCCATCCGAGGATCATTGATAAGCAGTGAGCTGTGGCATAATGAGCATGGCTTCCAAGAATGACAGGATAAATTATAATATTTCTTGTGAAGCCTCTTCTATTTATAGCTAGCTGAAATCCTGACGATGACATATTTGATTTCAAACAATTTCCTTGATTAAACAGGAAATAATAATTCTTATTCTAACTGGTATTGATAGCATGAATCAGTGCACAGATTTACTCCATAATATTTTTTATTGCTATGAAGTCCAGAGAAAAAAATAAAATTAAAGACTTGGTCTGCTTAATTTTGTCTTACAGCAATTGTGAATCCTGCCGACACTTCAACTCTTCACATAACACACTTGGCCAATGCAAAACCACTTGCAATTATAGAATGCATTATCTTGAAATATCAGGTAGGCATAAAAATGCCAACTTAATTATTTATATATCAACTTTCTTCAACCCAATTATTAGAATAAATTATTAGAGTTTTCATAGCTTTTACTTGGTACAAGTTTTAAGAAAGAGTTTGTTTATGAAATATTTCTTCATCCTCAGATATGAATTTGCCTGATGTGCAATTTCTTTTAATAGAACTCATAGTTAAAAATAGATACTGTCTATAAATTAATGGCTGTAGATTAATTTCCAACTGTAATCAAATTACCGTATTTGCCGGCGTATAAGACGACTGGGCGTATAAGACGACCCCCCAACATTTCCACTCAAAATATAGAGTTTGTTATATACTCGCCGTATAAGACTACCCCCTCTTCCACACACCTTCCACTTTTGCACTTTTTTTTTTTTGACGCACTTTTCTGCTTTGGACAATTTTGAAATGAGCTAATCCAATTTTGAACCAAGAATATGCAAATAGCTATAGAGTTTAGAAATGAGTTTTAAAAATATTTTTCATTGCTTACCATTAAGTGTAAAATATGTTGTAAATAAAATGAGAACACAGGAAACGTTCTCTTCTCAATACAGCTGATCTCTCTCTCTCTCTCTCTCTCTCACACACATACACACTAAAAACCCGGACACTGAAAAGGCTACCAAGGAACAGTATATTCAATGCCTTCTCTTTAATCAAGAAACAAGGAATTCCTTAGAATCTTTTTTTTTCCCCAAGTGGCCCTCTTTAAAAAAAAAATGGAGGTAACACTTTCATTCAAAAAGTCTTCCAGTATCTGGAGTCGCTCAGACATATTGAAGTGAGGCAGGAGAGTAAGTGAAATTTGAAATGATCCAGCTACCGTTTTCTTCCCCTCCCGCCCGAAGGCCATTATCTCCACGTCAAAACGAACGAGGGGAGGCAAAGAAGCCAAACACGCTAAAAAGGATCTCTTTATTTTCCTACACAAGGTCACACCTACTTTTCCGCATTCAAAGGACAACCTCTCCTCACCACCACCACACACACACACACACCCCAATACCCGCAAACAATGTTCTGGGCATTAATCACCATTGCTACATTAACCTGGTAAATTTATACCCTGCCTCCCCCAGTGTTGCTTTGACGGCAGGATTTCACACAGCGGGGCGCTCGCTCGCTCTCTTCTCCGCTCTCCCACCGTTCGCACATGTTGGAAGCACCGTAAAACCTGATAACCCACCCGGGGGCTCCCCCATCCTTAACCTACAGCCGCCCGCATGCAAAACCTGCGTGCAAAAAGAAAAAAAGAAAAAGAAAAGTACGCTGCACGTGAGGATCTTCGAATCCTCTCCTCCCCACACCGCTAAGGAAGGAAGAGGGGGAAAGGTTGCGCAGCGCGTGGCGAGTGACACCCGCCACACACACACACACACACACACACACACACACCGCTCCCCCCCCAGCCTCCCTCCTGGCTGCAACTCAAGCTCGAAGTGGGAGTCGGAGTCCTCCTGGCGTATAAGACGACCCCCCCACTTGGAGGCATGTTTTTCAGGGCAAAAAAGTCGTCTTATACGCCAGCAAATACGGTATATATTTTAGTGTAGCTTTTTCTTGTTCTGCTCTTTCTTTCACCAGCATGTTGCTAAATGCTTAGATTTTTTTCTCCTCACATATGAATCACATTCAGTTTTGAGTTTGATTAAGAAAACTCAGAGGAATGTTTATAAATATATATGTATTAATGCTTTAACTGTTCTAAGACCAGTATCTGCTTCCCATGGAAAGCAATACCTAATAACTGTAATAGGTACAAAGTACTGTATTTTTCAGAGTATAAGACACACTTTTTCCACCCCTAAAAGTGGGTGGAAATGTCTGTGCATCTTATACAGCAAATGTTGCTGAAACCCTGTCCACTCTTTGGCCTCTGCTTCCCAGCAATTTGCCTCTTTGCAGCAAACAGCCAGGTTCAGCTTCAGCACAGCCTGATTAGTTGATTGTCACTTGGATTGGCCTCCTGAGGATCAGCTGTTTCTTACCATTGCCTCCGTGAACCCCATTTTTGGCTTCCACGTTCCATTTTTGGCCTCTGCGCACCTCATTTTCTGCCCATTCTGATCCCCGTTGTCCGGAATAGGCTGAAAACAGGGCGCCTGGAGGCCAAAAATGGGGCGCGCAGAGGCCACAGTAGGCTATGGCAATCCTTGCAGCCTGGTCATCGGGAGGCTGTGCTTAAACTGAAGCAGACTGCTTGCTGCAAGGAGGCAGATTTTTTTTTCTTGTGTTCCTCCCCAAAAGCTAAGTGCGTCTTATACTTCAGAGTGTCTTATAGCCTGAAAAATATGGTAAATGTAATATTTTTTAAAATGTTGATTATTAAACAGTCTGAGACCTTTGAGAATTTAATTTTGTTACTGGCAAAACTGGCCAGAATAATTCAAGAAGAAATAGATCTCTCAGGTCATCATTATATATTGTCATTTCTGCATGTAAGGCTGTAATTATTGCACATCACCTATTGAAAGAAAATGTGCAGCTATTTTTTAACTTTACGAAAAACTAATCTTGTTCTTTCTAAGAAGTTTTTCAATGTACAAGTGCCACTTTTAGAAGCTTATACTTCCTTAGACAAAATATCATATTGATGATCGTTCCAGTTCTATTAGTGTCTGTATATGGTAGGATCCATTTGGGACTCCTAGAACTTTTTAGAATAATAATTAAGGTGTTCACTACATTTAGGTCTAGTTTAATGTTGTTGTCTTTTATGTTATCTAGGACTAAAAAAGAGTCACTGGCCCAAAGTCACCAAGTATGACACCATACTTTGGGCCAGTTACTCTTTTTTGATCCTAGGAAGAAAGCAATAGCAAACTACTCCTAAAAATCTTGCCAATAAACCTGTGAGTTCTAATCCAAGAAATTAATCACCAGCAGTCACCATTGATTTGAAAGCACAAGTATAATTGTCCAGATAATTGGTGTACTTAGCTGACTTTAGTTAATGACAGAATGTTAAATTAAACCCTATAGTACGTATATAGATGGGGGATTTTGAAGAAACACACTGAAAGGCCTATTGTCATTTTCTTACTATTTCCCAGAAATTTCATTGATATCATCATATTGATCATGTCTGTCAAGTTGACTTGAATAAAACTTTATTTTACGTATCAAAAACAACTTAGTTACTTGCAGTGGGAGAGTAATAGTAGACATGGGTTTTAAAGGAGATTCTAAAAAACTCTTAGAAAATAATTGGCAGAAAAAAAGGCTCATGTAGAATGGAATGCAGACCTCCAATTAAAGGCTTAGTTGACTAATTGGCTTATGAAATATTTCTTTATTTTAAGTTCTACAGGAGCAACTCTTTTAACTATATTTCAAGATTTAGAGGCAATCTTTTATGTGTGTCCTTCTGCAAAGATTTCAAGCTATATGTATGTGCTCCTTAAGATGTGCATTAACAACACTCATTCTTACAAAATAGTTTAAAAAAAAAACCTCTTTGACTAAATCAATAATTTTGTTGTTTCTCATTTTGTATAATTTTTGTGTGACCTTAAGAAGTAACTATATTTCAGCAGAAAGACAGGATGTACTTCAAACAATAAATAGTTCGTTATTGGTTTATTCAAATTTATTATTAAAGGGTTGCTCTTAACATGAAAAAACTTTGTCAATATAAATTGGTTAGTTAACTAGTTGACTTAGTAAGATTCTGCAGTCTAAATATGAATGTGATGGTCAGTTTTTATTTTTGTTGTTATTTTGTTTCATTGCAGAATGCCTTTCTGATGATCCAAGTTATTTCAGAATATTTTTCATTATATTTATAATAACATTTTTGATTGGTTTGCTTAAAGTGTGCATAATCCGTCAGATAATTGTATATTGTGACCATAGTAGAATCAAGTCTTCAGCAGGTTACAGAGTGCCTGCAGCCAAAAAGGTAACTGATGATCGTTTTCTTGAATATAATTATAATGCTATTTGTGCCAGCCTTCTAACCAGCTATTTTTTCTCCTTCAAGGATAAGACCTTTTTGCCTGCTGTTTGTGCAAAAACAGTAACTTACCGGCGTGACAAGCCTGAAGAAATAAACATTGACAGGAGACAAGTAAATGAAGCATTCAAATGTAGCTCTTGAAGACAAGAACCTATTTCTTGAGGACTTTTGTTTTCTTAAATGTTTTTTAAAAATATATTGTTTAATGCTGTGGAGTTTTACAATTTTGAACACTGTAATTTAAAAAAAACTAACTTGGAGTTCTAGTTGCACACTGCCGGGGTTTCAGAAAGAGCTGCTTGTTCAAAACAAAAACAAATGTGCATTAACTACTGTTTAATGTAATTAAAATACTGGTTGCAACTAAGATGCATTTGGATTAGCAGCCAGTTGAATCCCATTTGATAGTGTTAGAATAACATTGGCTTAACGGAAATGTTCTGGAACTTGGATTTTATATCGATTTCCAAGGCCATTCGGTATTGTAGCACTTTAACATAGTATAACTTATTTAGTTGTGTTATAGAATATTAATTAAAACATTTGTGGTAAAAATGCACTGTTCTCACTTTAGAAATAGCTAACATGGATGAGGATTATAATCACAAACTCCCAAATCCCAAATAGAAAACTGTAACTGACAGAAATCAATAAATCAGCTACCTATGGGTCTTCCTATCCTGAACATTCAGGACAAAGTGGAAGCAGGAAGAAAACAAATGAATTTTAAAAACTGTTAGAAGGTACAGTTACTCTTTATTCTTCCAACCTCGACGGGTAGCAAGCCCAGGATTTTCTAATTGCACTAGTTTCAAAGAAAGTGAAAATATATATTTTTTTGCTCAAAATATATGGAAGTAATTGTCCCAAACATATTTTATATGGCAGTAATTGTCATGGAACATATTTCCATGGCAATATTGCTTTCCAATGTTCAGAAATGGTTGGAGGAGTCTATTCTTCGTGACAGCCGAGTGTATCTTAGAACAGGGGTCTCCAACCTTGGCAACTTTAAGACTTGTGGACTTCAACCCCCAGAATTTCTCCGGAATTGTAGTCCACAAGTCTTAAAGTTGCCAAGGTTGGAGACCTCTGTCTTAGAAGGCATCACTTGTCTGGGGAATATGATTAAAAAAAAGTAAGATGGTGGCCTTGACGATAAAAAGAAGGTTTTTGTCTGCATCAAGCACCAGTGTGGTCATCACCTTTATGGTTTTGGGTTTTTTTTACTATAGTCTGCAAACACCCTGTTTCCAAACGAAGCACAAATCTTATGAGTCAGGAAATTGATCACTATATAATGTGTATTTACTTCTTATTTGTATTTAGTTTGCTTCAAATTGGGATAGATACTTTTTTCCTGTAAAAGGTAGGAGTAAATGTAACGAATCTTTAAAATTAAAATGTTATAGTCAAATACAGCGAATTCTTCATTTGTTGTGCAAAAAAATATGGTAAAGTGTGTTCAGTTGGAGTAATTTTCTATTGCTTTTGTTCAGAAAAAGGAGAGGGAACAAATTTGCCAGATCAGAATAAATCTAGATCATGATGGTAGATGGTATGATCCAAATTAAAGCTACTCAACTAAAATGAAAATTAATATATTTAAGCCCCAAATTTTACCTGGAAGAAGCCCAACTGAATTTAGTAGACAAGCTTAATTTTTGGCTAAGCATAGAGTATATAAAGTAATATTTAAGACTTAATCATACATGAACTTCCCATCCTAATACAATGTTGATGGCATTTCTGTTGGTATCTTATACTGATAGCAATTTCCAGGCCAATTTGAATATCTGAAAATGTGCACATACCACATGGATTATTTTTATTTTTTAATTTTTAACATAACTAGGAAATTGGGCATATGTTCTATTAATGCTTAAACTGCACAACTGCAGAACAAATTCTATTACTGGAAAAAATGTATGTGTGGTTTTAGTTGGATTGTCCTCAAGTCCCTATTTTGCACGCTAATAAAAAGGTACTAAGTGTTAAAATATTTTGTCTAGTACAATATCTAGAATTTCTGATCAGGCTTTTCTGCAGTTTCCTATATAGATACAACTAAAATAAACCTAACTGAAAATGTATATTTTATAGTGTTTCCTGATGCTTTTGTATAATGTATACTGTTCTGTTTCCTTTGGGACTGTTTCCAAAAAGGTGAATCAGTCATGTTTTTGTGGATTTAGATTTTACTATGTAGATTCTTTCTAGGAAAGAAATATGCAGAGGACAATATCTTATCAAATTAATAATTTTAAAAAGTTGAATTCCTATTCTGTTTTACTAAATATTTTGTAGTGTCTGTGACTAATTCTTGTTTCCATTTATTTATTGATTTGTCACTTTAGTATATTGTGAGAAAGTCTATTTTTCTATGAGAGGTATAATAGTTTGACATTAAATTAATACTAGATTATGCAGACTCAATTATTGTCTCTAATCAGTGTTTGAAGTTTGTTATTTTTCTGTAACAATAAAATTTTAATTAAATAAAATATCAGCACCAAGTTTGCAATCCTACATGTCCTAATATCAACCATAGTTTGACAGAAATAAAATCAATAACATTTTGATTTTATGGACAAAAATCCAGAAGTATCACCAAAAATGGGCAACATTTGAATCACCTCTCCCAACAGTGTCTCCTGAAGTATCCATCAGCATTTTTATTCAGGGCTTTTTCCATTCTCCATGCCATTTCTGCCCTAAATATCTGAATTTTGGTCCATTATCAGAACAGAACCTCTTTTTGTTCTCCATATGGTCCAAAATGTGACTACCCCAATCCACCTGCTGAATATATGGAAGTTTTGCAAGATACATTAAACATTTTGCAAGATGTGGGTATGCTTTTTAAGAGAAATATTCATTGTGATAACATGTTTGTTTTTATTTTTGAGGATATTTTAAAATCTTAGCCACCAACAAACGCAGTGTTTCACTTTGGTTTGTTATATATCTCTTGAATTCTGCTTGTAATGACAGCTAAAGATATTAAGCCAAAGTAAGATTCTTAAGCAAGCACAATGCTTTCTTGTCTGTTGTTAAGTAATTGAAAGGATCCCTTCCAAGCCTTCTTGCTTGATCACAGCCCAGAAAAATTGGACCACAGTTTTGAGGCTAGTTGAGAACCTTTTTAGATACATCTATCTTCAGATAATACATGTAGATTTTCTGAATTGAACTTTGTGGTTTATAAGAAGTATTCTGGTATTTTTAAAGGGCTATAAACAGAAAATATGTTAGAGGGTCTGCAATTTAAAACAGTTGATGGTGTACAGAAATATAAAGCAAGATATTGTAACATTGAATTTGTAATAGGTAACAAGGAATACATTTTGTACAAATGATGTATCTATGTTTATATGCCTTCTAATATAAGAGAGGTTGTTTAATCCATTGATCAAAGAATTACACAATCTCGTGACTACCCATTCTCCCATTAACTATAACAAAGAATAATGACATGATAGTCTGTTGACATACATTTAACTGTATATAGACTATGAATTGGTGATTAGGTCTATTTTATTGAATATGGGGTGCATTTGACCACTATTTTTTAAAAAAATCTTTCGTTAAAAAATTGCCATACCTGTCTGAAGAATCTCATTGTAGGAACCTTCTTTTCTCATCTTTTTCAACTAGTCATTTCTTCATTGAAAAGTTGTTTATTCTTCTCTTGAAAATCTGAGTCATGAACGCAAGGCTTGTCAGGCACAAAAGATCAAGAGCAAACATGAAGTCCCAATTGAAATGTCTTATTGCTCATGGCGATGCACAGGAATCTACTCAACTAACAGCACTATTTTGGTGCGAAATAAGGGTTAATGGAATTCCAGGGGGTTTGGATTTAACCCATTTGTGGTTGCATAGAGATTCTAGGCTGATTCCTCTTTTAACTCTATTCCCCAGATTCTGTAACTCCTTCCCTTACTGTCTCAAATTGTCCATTGTCTTAAACATCTGGCAAGTCATGCTTGTGACTATTAAGCCTATTTCCCATCTTTGCTAATATATCAAGTTAAAGCAGCATATACTAATCCTTTGATCATTTTCATTTTTTTAACTTCACAACTTTGTGAAGTAGATGGTGCTGATTGATAGCAATTCATAGCGGTATCCACAGAGCATGATCAAAAGAGTTAAGATGGCAGCCATGATAATGTGATACCTAATTGTTTTCTGCATCACACCTTTGCTGGTGAATTGCCATAGTTAAGAGTATACTTGATGCGTTTACCACAACACCGTATTGTTTGGAATATGATGTTTGCATTTTATCAGGATGTTAGTGACCTGGAAATGAGAAAGTTTTTAATATCATTTTTCTATCATTTCTAAACGTAATAATATGTCTACATGAAAATGCTTAGATCACCATGTAGTTTATAGGAGCCAGTAAACTAAATAGGCATCTCAGGCAGTCAGAGATATTAATTTTCTACTAATTTTAGTAAAAGTTATTTCTATAGGATTCATCAATCAAATGTATTATTTTCTTTTTAATTCTTTTTACAGCTAAACCTTGAATCTAATGGTGAAGTTTAATTTCTTTCATGTTCAGTCACAGCATATATGCATCATTTTATTCTGAGGGTTAAATTTTAAAGAGAAAACTGAATGAAATCTGAATTCATTATTATCCCTGGGTTTTGCAACGTATTTTTTTTTTTTTGCCAAGTATTTTTGTGGTTAGTAAAACTACATGGAACTACTCTCTTTCCACAGACTTATTACAGCAACACTCATCTAATATCATTTATTTTTCCTTTTTTACATACCTGTTTATGTACATCCAATGGTTTTGATGTTCATAAAAGGGAAACAATACAATAAGCTTAAAATACCATTACTCCTTTTTGAAAACCTTTGAACAGGGATGTCAAACTCATATTGTCACAGTGGCATCATGTGACATATCAGGACTTTCCCCCCTTTGCTAAAATGGGTGTGGGCGTGGCCAGCATATGACGTATCTGACCGGTGGGCCAGGAGTTTGACAGCCCTGGTTTAGAAAATAGGCTCCCTTTGGATGGTTTTGTGGACCATAGTACCAAATGGGAACTTTTAAACTTGCTCCTAAGACTTCATATTGTAAATAATTTCATGAAATCTACTTTTGTCCACCATTTTTGGCTCAGTGAAAAGGAAGTCTCTAAATCTGATGCAACCTGTAGGAAGGGGGTTTGTTTTTCTCCTTTTTATATTAGTCCTTTCTCCTTTCTATATTCCGTCTTTCTGCCCCTCTTTCCCCTCTTTCTATTGGAAACTTACTTACCTAATTCATGGGCTTATTTTGGTTCATTCTGTCCCAGACCTAGTTAATGTTGTTATGAACATTAACTGTGTTTCTGGTCAAGTTTATTTACATTGTGAATAGAAACAAGGAAAATATCCCATAACATCCATATCGAGTATGTTCTATAGAGATCGTTGGAAGAAGTTATGCATTACAATGTTGTCCTCTTACCCACAGATGTTCTACATGTGGCGTGACTTGATTGCTTGATGCCTAGATCTCACCCAACCGCCAGAATAACACTGAAACTGGTTACTATGTTTCTGCCTGAACATCTCCCATGTCTGGACAGCATCATTTCAGATGACACAAAAAAATTCTTCAGTATGACATGTATTCCTCTGGCCAACCTTAGATATTGTCCCTATTATCCTTGTTAACAAGGTTCTATTGAAATTCATAAACATTTCAGAGACTAGTCACAATCTGCTCATGTATTAGAAGAGACATCTTTTGGGATCAGCTACCTATTCATTAATTTATCTTATTACAGTGTGTTTACTTGTAAAGTA